AAGTTGGCGTTTGAGGCACTCAAGAAGGCGTTGGTGACGGCTCCAATTTTGGCGAAACCTGATTGGGGTAAACCTTTTCTTCTGTATACAGATGCATCAAATATTGCTGTAGGATGCACCTTGAGTCAATTTGATGATGAAAAGCATGACCATCCAATTGCCTATGCTAGTAGACAGATGGTACAAGCAGAGAAGAATTATTCAGTGACCGAAAGGGAGGCTTTAGCTGTCATCTTTTCACTTAAGAAGTTTTGACACTATGTGTTGGGTGGAAAATTCACTATAGTGACTGATCATAAGGCCTTGAAATATATTTTCAACAAGCCTAATGCTGAGGGGAGGATAGCTAGATGGAAACTACTACTAGCGGAATTTGATTATACCATTGAGGATCGACCGGGAAAGAAGCATGCTAATGCGGATTTGTTGTCAAGAGCTTATGATGAGGTAGGAGATCAATCTGTGGATGACACTTTTCCGGACGAAGATTTGTTGGTCATGGACACGGTGACATTGGTACCAGAGAAGTACAAGGAGATTTGGGAGTTCATTTCCAAAGGAGAATTTCCTCAAGGTATGCATTCAAGAGAAAGGAATGCATTGGTAAAAAGATGTCAACCCTATATGATCATTGAGAAGGTGTTATTTCATCAAGGAGCTGACGGTCTGCTACGACGAGCTGTTGGAAGAGGCGAAACATTGCAACTCATGAAGGAGTTTCACGAAGGTGCCGTGTGTGGAGGACATTTTGCGGGGAAGGTAACAGCCTTCAAGATCCTTGATGCTGGATATCATTGGAAGGGTATTTTCAAAGATTGTGTGGAATTTTGCAAGAGTTGTGATGTGTGTCAAGCTTTTGCTAAAAAGTCCATGAAAACCCCTCCTTTGATTTCAGTTCCAATGTTAGGTCCTTTTGAAAAATGGGGGATAGATTTTGTAGGTCCTTTGAATCTTACTCCTCGGGGAAATAAGTTCATTGTGATAGCTACAGATTATCTTACCAAGTGGGTAGAGGCAAGGCCACTAAAATCTACTAATGAGAAGGAGGTTGGTAGGTTTTTGTATGAGAGAATCATAACCAGATTTGATTGTCCTTTGGAGTTAGTGTCGGATAGAGGAGGAGAGTTTGTGGGAAGTATGATCCAAGCAATGTTAGATCATTTTTCCATCAAGTCTAGAGTGACTACTTCCTACAAACCCAATGCTAATGGGTTGGCGGAGCGGACCAACTACACTCTTTGTATGATGTTGGCCAAGGATGCAGACATGGACGGGAGCAAGCAAAACTGGGACAAGAGGTTGCATGCTATCTTGTGGGAGTATCGAACGACTTGGAAAACATCTACCAGATATTCACCTTTTCGTATGGTGTATGGAGTTGAGTCAAAGATCCCAATACAATTTGACTTGACTACTTTCATGACAATCCAACAAAGATTGAAGAAATCAAATGGAGCAGAAGCCATCAAGTCTCACCAACAACAATTGATGGAGTTGGAGGAAGCTCGAGCACTAGCCATGGTACGAGTGGAGCGGGCTCAACAGTTGCAGAAGAAGTATCACGACAAACGAAGTGGAAACCAGAACTTCAAGCCATTCAAGGAAGGTGATTGGGTGATGCTCTTTGATGCAATTAGATACAAGAGAGCTAGGAAAAAGTTTCTTCCTAAGTATTTTGGACCTTTCATAGTTGAGAAGGTGTGGGGAAACTTTACTTATGATATCAAGGAGTTAGGAGGACGTCACTTCGATCGAGTCAACCACGACAAGTTGAAATTATTCCATCGAAGATCAGATTTTTTCACTCCGAGGGCGTAGTGAAGTCTTGGTCCGGGGGTAAATGTAAGACCAGATATTGCATATGTGAAATAAAACTAGAATTAGCCAAGGAATTAATCATGGTTAGGATATTTATGACTAAATCTAGCTAGTTATGACTAAGTCTAGCTAGTTTAGCTATAATGTCTATACTTGGCGGAATAACTAGAGAAGTTCTAGAAGATTTGAGTGAGCACTTCTATTTTGTCTTGTATAAAAGTCTAGATTCCAAGAGAAAAGACTTTTGAACTTCATGTTTAGTTTGATTGGTTTGACTAAAGTAAGGAGTATTCCATTGGTTAGACTAAGTCTAGTGTTGACTTAGTGGAAAGTGAAAGTTCTAGAAGTTGGAAAGGCACAAATGGCATGTCGCCACCTCAATCTAGGGATTAGTAAACATCTAGAAGGTTTAGGGGGCTAATGGCATGTTGCCACATATTGATAACTAGTCAAACTTACTATGGTTTATCGTCGTAAAAGTAAGTTAGATAGAAATTACCATTTGTTACTATGGTAAATTCTCAAGTAGTATATATAGAGAGGTAGGGAATAGCCTCTCAAGCAAGTTTGGAGAGTTCATATGTAGAGACTTGTTTCATATATGAAAGAGTGACGAATTTTCAGTACCTTGGAGTGTTGATGAGTGTATGAGTTGGAGTGATACCTTGAGAGATTGTGTGAGAAGGTGTTTAGTTTATGAGTATGATGCGGAATCCTAGTCTTCTAGAATCATGATGAGCTACCGAAAAGCCATCTGAGGTAAACCTGACTGAGAGTCAGCCCGGAGGTTGCAGTCCGGATCTGTGTCCACTTCGGCCTCCCGCAAGTATCTACGCGGATAACTCCGGGTCAGCAGCGGAAACCGTGTCCGCTCTGAAGCTGTCAAACATCCCATCGCTCGATAAAACACGATCAGGTAAGGCGAAAGATGATTGAGGGTCTCTCCTCTCTCTTCTTGCGCATGTTGGCGCGTCACCTTCCACAGGAGCCGTGCCCAATGAACCGGAGCTCCTGACAACACTAGCTCCACAAATCCCACTTGCCAACCATGCATGTAGGCGGTCTTGGTCGGCTGCAATATCTGAAGCAATGCAGTCGCGACATTTCTCCGCAATCGATCTTTGTAATCCCGCGTCCGGAAACCGTTCTTGGGATGCCTGGCAACTTTGAAAAGATCATTGTAGGAGACTTCTTCCTCCTTGGACACCTTCACGCTCTCGGCCTCGAAGAGGAGATACCCTTCCTCGTCTGCACACCTTCCTAACACCTGCGCCCAGTCACTAATGTCCCACCTCTCGGGATGTGGGCGGAATCCGCGCGAGGGCTTGTGTTTCTCCTGCAAATACTCGCGCACCATCTCCGGACACGTCCAATTCCATCCCCACAGGAGGAAATCAAGCTTCAACCTTGTCAACACATCTTGGAATGCGCGCAGACCGATCTGCGGCACTTTGAGTGGAGACACTCGCAGCTGGGGGACCTTCGACATCTTTCTTGCTTTTCCTGCACACACACAGACGTTTTCCCTTCCGCTCGATCTCTCACAATCGCCGCTGCGCGTCGGCCGCTCAGACACTGACTGAAATCGCTCTCTCCTCTCTTGCGCGCTCAATTTCGCTGCTCGCAAACTCTCTGCAAGGTCCGTCAAGATCCTCACGCAACTCGTCTCCGCACTCTCTCTTCTCACTGCAGGTCTCTCCGCCCTTGCGCTTAATCTCTGAAGCTGGAAAACTCACAATCAAGAATGAGAGAATGAGACTGGAGAGCAGACTTTTCTTCTCCAAATTCAAGATCGCCCAACGTTCTCACTAGGTACAATCAAACTTGATTACGCAGCCGGCTATACGGCCTCACGGTTCTCCCTCGCATGTTCGAATTCACGACTCCGCACTGCGCGCATTCGCATGCGTGAACGTTGAATTCTCCCGCCGCATCGTCTTACGGACTCGAGTTCGCCATCGTCTTCCGAACTCGAGTTCGCCGCAGTGGAGCGTATGCTTCGACTATGTTGTCTTTTCCCAACCTGCCCATCGCCGGAAGCGTATCGCCGCTGGCGTATTCCTTCTCCGTCGGCGCCTCGCTGGAGGCGCACATCAAGTCGGCGCGAATTACGCCGGCGCGTATTCGTACCACTTGTTTTGTCCGTTCTGCCCCGCATATCCCGCCGGCGCGAATTATGCCAGCGCACCCGCCTGTCCGCGCCACGTCGGAGGCGTACATCCGGCCGGCGCTTCTCTTCCGTTGCGCAGCCGCCAAAGGCGCTTCCGCCTCTGAGTTGATCTCCTCTTATGAGCGCGTGGTTCCGCCGAAGGCGCATCGCCGAAGGCGTACGGGAGTCCTCTCCGACGGTGAACCCTAGCGCGAACAGCGCATGTCCGGATGCGAGTTTTCCGACGCTCATAACTTCTTCGTCCCTGATCCATCTCCGGCGCTCTTGGGCTCGTTAGAACGAGCGTCTCGAGCTCTTTCCAATGAGACCTCAACCAACTAGAACTACCGTGAATCCTGATCGTTATGAAGGTTTACCTCCTGCGCCAACGGCGCATCGCCGAAGGCGCACTCATGGTCGGAAGCCTTCAGAGGTCCTTGCCGGCTTTTGACGTCTTCAGCGACATCTACTCCGGAGGTGTCTGTGCCGGAAGCGTACCTTTCCTAAGCGCTGGAAGCGCGTGGGTAGAGACACCTCAGTAAAGGAGATATTGCCGAAAGCGCCGAAGGCGTTTGGCGCTGGTACCTCCAACTTCGCGATTCTTCGTGACCTCGTGACGATCTCCTCAATCCACTCTATTTAACGTACCATTTCCTAACTACGGACACTGCTTCGGTATTTCTTTTCTAAAATTGTTTAAATTCTGAAAAAAAACAAAAAATGTGTTACCACAAATATAATTAATATTTTATTCAAATAAATTGTTATATAAATATTTCACTTGTTTATCGTTACAATTTTTTATATTACGATATTTTTCTCATCACAATTCAGATGGTTGAGTGATAGATACAAAAATCTCTACTAGAAACATCCTCAAGCAATAAGGGACTCCCAATAGCCACGGACAATACCGTACAGTGATAGGAGAGTAGACTGAATTGCCCGCTCTCCAATTGCGCAGCGGTAACCAAGGGAGTCCATGCAACGAATTATGTTACAGAATTCTGCGTTTGAGAAGACGAAGGCTTTGCGTCAATGGCGACAGATGAGAAAGACAAAGACGACCGTAGAGGTTTCCAGAGATAGACGGATCTTGTACAATTTTATCGATTTTGATGTACAGTACATGAATATCTACAGAAGGGGCAAGGAGCCGAGCAGACGATTGTGGAGCTGTGAGAGTGTAGACTCCTGGTTCCCTCCAGTGATACAGCGGTTGTGGCTTTGAGTCCAAATCTTCCAGCAGGCAGGTCACCAGCCGAGGAGACTCTCGGCAAATCCTGCCGAAGGAGCTTCTCAAAATCACATAACTCGGTATCTAATCGCGCAGGGAGGAAGAATTCTGTAGAATGCTAAGAGCTAGCGCTTCTGAGAACCAGAAACCGAATATGGTCGAGGAGCTCTGGGCGGAGCATGATCCCTCGCTTACGCAGCATATCTATCTCTTCTGGGAACAGGTCTCCAACACGTCTCAGAGACGTGAGCATGACGCTGTCGAGCATGTTGTCGGAGTTTTTCATGAACCCCTGACGCAATGCCTCCATCTTCTCCGGTGGATACTCTTTCCAGATTTTGGCGCCCTTAACTCCCTTCATGATGCCGTCCACGTGATTCACCACCAGCACTATCCTGTCACACAATTTCTTGCGCACCTCCTTGGGCACATCTGCACAGTCTGCTGTCACGTCTCCGTTGAATCTCATGAGAACCAGGCACAGATCCGGCAGCTGCTCAAAAGCCTCCCACATGGTGGACAGACGTTTGCGATCGTGCGCAGCGCCCATGCCGGGGAAGTCCACCGCCACCAAATTCCCCAGGGCGCTCACTCGGTAGCCTTTCGGATCATCGGTGTGGGTCGTGTACCCGGTCGAGGCTGCACCGGCTTCCCCAGATTCGTCCTCGTCATCATCCGTGTCGTCCCCCAAATTCCTATTCGGAGCTCCATTCCTCAGAATGTTGATCAGTGTACTCTTGCCCACATTCTCAGGCCCAACGACGGCCAGCACCTTCTCTTCCTTGGCAACTTTGTGTGCAGTGTCGATCTCCAGCATCAGTTTCACGAAGCCCATGACGTTTTTTCTTGTCTCGGGGTCTTGGTCTTTGAGCTCGTGCTCAAGCTTGTGTATCCACTTAAAAGGATCGACGCATTTCCCGTCCGAATCACAGGCTCGGGCCTTCTTCACAATCTCCCTCTCATAGTCCGCCACGTTCTTGTCCCCGGGCAGCAATGCTTGCTCTGGATAAGACTCAACAAAACCTTATTTCAGTTCCTATAAATCGAACTAGCATACAGTCCATTCTATCTTTCATACCATCGAGATGTGAGATTCCCTGTGGCTTGTGGAGCAGTGCGCTATGGCACCACATCAGAAAGCAAACCAAACTGAAAATTTCTGCATTCAGGATTTAAAGCAGAATTCCAACCAAGGTGCTAAAATAGACTGTAAATCTACAGAACGTATGATTGGAAAGTGTCATGCCTGGACTCAACGAGGCGTAGATGAACTTCACAATCTGGTCGTAGTATTCCAGCTTGATTTCCTTCCTGTACGAGAGGATGAAAGCAGCCACGCCGACTACGAAACCTCCAGCCGCCAGGGGAATGGCGATGCCCATGGTGGAAACACTGACAATGACAGCCAAGGCCACGTACAGAGTCACCCCGACGCTGAACAAGCCGACTGACAAGCCACCAAGGCCCCGTCTGAAGAAGCGCTGGCGTTTCTCACTGGTCCCAATGAGCGGGGGGAGTTTGATCGACAAAGTGGTTTGATTGAGATAATTAGAAACGCTATCTATGAAAGGGTCTGCTTCTTTTCGTCGATCGAAGACCGACTTTTTGAGATTATCTAAGCCAGAAGTGAATTGCTGCAGTGCATCTTGCGTCTCTGTACGTCCTGTGAATTCTGCTGCCATTTTCAGATGCTGCTTCAGGACCCTGATCCTTTCCTTTGAAGAACTATAGGCTGATGTCTCTTGTACACTATCGAGAATGACTATCTTTCCGATGACATGCTTGAGCTCGTTTATGACATGGCTTCCTGTGCCCGAGGCCTTCCGAATAACTTGATGCCATTCAGTCTCGCCGAACATGGTCTCGACCTTCACATTGACTGTGGTCTGGTTGCTCGTCAGCACGCTCACCTCGCCAGGAGTGAGCTTGACCTTGTTCCGAAACACGATGCTGTTCTGCTCCACTCTTGTAATCTCCCATTTCTCCAGGAAATCTGACACTGCACATTTCTTCCTCAGGCACAGGCCAAGATTGTACCCCACGACCTCCAGCTTAGCACTGTTCACGTCTCCTCGTTGCTGACCCGATATGATCGTGAGAAAAGCTTCATCCACCTTCGGAGGTAAGCCTTCTGCAACATTCGGTACTGGAACTCCGGAATATTGCAATAGATGTCTCAGAACATTCACCACGTAGTAGGTCATCGCGTGGTTCTGGGATTGCACACGTCAAATCATCAGTACATAACTCTCGAAGTCGTTAGATGGATAAACAGCTTCTAAGAGATTCAACCCCGCTCAATAATCTGCATGTAGCTTCTATTAGAAATATGAATTTGTAAGCTGACAATTAAGCGCACGATGTGTAAACTTTACTCCATGACCAATCAAGAGTATGAAGTAGATTACGAAGGGAGATCAACCCAAAGGAAAAATAGCTTGATACAGAGGACAATGCATTTGTTTACAGCACTCATCCATACCTTAAAGCCATCTTGTGTCCAACTCAGGGTGTAATTGTCTAAATATTTGGGTTTTGGATTCGGTTGCGTTGCAGAGACCGTCGTGAAAGCAGCATAAATCCCGAATGCAGCATATCCTCTGCCGCGTGGCCACTGAATTGATCTCAGGCGCTTCAATTCGGTGTGTGCATCTTCTACCCTCAGAGCAGGAGGCATGGTTAACTTCTTCCGACTCCGTCCCGAGCTCTCTGGGAAACACTCACCTCCAGATTCAACCAAGATGGTTTGCAATTTTGAATTCAGCTGTCAGCACGAAAGTTCAAGCAGTGATCAGCTTTCGTACTTGACAATCCGCAAAGTCACTCAACAGCAAGAAGCTTGCACGACGAGTATCATCAGACATGAAGAAGAGAGTTCATGGAAGTCAAATCTCAGTCTTAAAAATATTAGCCTCTCTGCAAATCAACCAGTTCTCAGTTCTTCGTGAAATCGTGCAGTCGTCTAGGATTGATGAGAAATCTTGTTATGATTCATGAAGAACTAACCTTTTTGTGCAATGCTGGATCAGATGGATATGCCCCGAGCTTCCAAAGCATCAAAGGAACAGGATCCTCTTCATTGATGTAGTTGAAGAACCTGCTTTCAACGGGCATTTGTCCACTATCTGAGAAGAAATCTCGAGCTTCTTCATCTAAGAAAAGAGGAGCTCCGAAGGCTATGGACAGAAAGTTCTCGTGGGAAAAATTCTTCACCTCCTTAGGATCGTTGCCGAAAAGAGAGAACAGTAAGCTGAGCATGGCTACATGAGACAGGGCCCCTCCTATACCATGTCCGCAGAAGATCGTGCGATCTTCACGGTCGGAAGTCTGCGAACTGGGACCCAAATTGGCACAGAATGCCATGAGCTCAACTGGACCTGGAAGATCATCCTTCAACGTGTTGAAATAACCATTGTGTATGTGACCCTTCATGGTAGCACGAGTTTCAGGGCATTGAAGTTGTGAATCCGCGATGTCAAAGAGTGTTTCCAGAGCACTGCTTCCCTTGAACGCGACATATTTCGTAAGAACATTGACTCCTTTGACAAAATCATAAGCCGTCGCTATCAAAATGCGAGGCTTTTGCTTCGATAACGCTGGCCCCAGAATGACCTTTCCAAAGTTGAGATCGTTGTACCTCGCGAAAATGTTACTCTTGGCGACTTCCAACTCCTGGTACACTGCACCACAACAAACTGCTGCACGCTGACGATCTTTTGCTCTCACACTGTTTTCTTGAAAATCTGGCCTCTGACCTTGTTCCTGATCGGAACCTGAAACGGAGCTCATGATTCCAAGAGTTTCTGCACCTCCCCGCTGCTAGTAAAATGCCAAAAGATCAGGTATTTTCTCTTGCTAAGCTAGCTAGCTGAAATGAATGAGTACATGGATTTTATGAATGAATGAATGGTTGATCGGGAAGAATGCACTAACTTTGTGGCTGCTCAATGCACTCCTATTGAAAAAATTAACTCGTCAAGAATCTACTCGGTAAATGATGATCCTAACGCTATTCTTCTGGAGATTGTAGGCATATCTACAAACATCTGTGGAAAAGGCTGATTTTATGGATTTATCATATATGGATCACACAAGCTATTGCTTTTACTCAAGTTTGTTGTTATCAGACTATCGATAAATCCAAAAATAGTCCAGAAAACTATACAGCAGTAAGAAAATATGATCGATTGCAAATACAGATAAGAGAAGACAGAGAATTGTGGCTCTGCAGAGGAAAGGAGCCCTTCTCAGCCAGCACTAACTAACTCTTGTCCATTATCGTGGACACGAACTTCTCAATTTGAAAACGCCACTTCTGACGTGCTTGATGTGCAATCAAAATAGGAAGCAGCTTGGATTCTGTGCTCCCCTCGAGCTGTCAGGCTTTCCAAATGCAGTTTACACTACTTCCGCTACATTGCCACCAGGCTATCTGCGTCAATTCCAGCGCCAGCATTCCCTTCGGATCCTCGACTCCGTGGACAGTACTACGGAGTCTTCCGGCTTGGGCTAGAAGGAAGCGGCCTTGAAGAAGATCCTCGTCTGCATTCCGAAGCCTCCCTGCCTGTCCTTCCAAGTGCAGGTCTAGCTAGGCCTGACACATTAGCCTTCGAAGTTCTATGAACTTCACGTCTTCATCACCGGACTCGAGCTCTCGGAATCCAGACTTTCGAATCCCAGCAGATGCTTTACTCGTGATCCCTGGGTAGCGAAAGTGATACAGAAGGATTCTGGAGTCAACTCAAGTTTAGCTTTAGTTGTGCGGCGGATAGATCGCGCTTGAGGACCGGATCTGACTCTCTAATCTCTACAGCAACGTGGTTGATGACATTGTGCCGTCCTAGATTCGAAAGACACTAAGAATCTCGACCTCCCTCCCACATTCTGACTCTCGAAGTAGTACAACTTTTGCCTCTTCCATGCCACTGTTCCGTACTGCTGTTAGTCAATTCAGGAGAATATATATTATAATAATAATAATACTGTGAACGTGCACGACAATCGATCTCAATTGTATTACATGAAGCTAGAAACGGGTTTGGCATGACGTCCAATGCAAGACGGATGCCTCCAGAGTTCAGGCGAAGGCATGAACTAGTGCCTAGAGGAGATAGGACAAACATGGCTTGCTCAAAGGCCTCCCTGCAGCTGGCAATGTCAGCGGTCATTGTCATTGCGGAATTCCTGTGATATGCATCCATCTTGGAGATGGATGGTTCACGGTGGCTGTAGATGAGGGCTGGAAGCTTGGAGGTTGTAGCGCAGGGAGAGCCACAGTCACTCATGACAAAAAATGTCCTTCCGGGAACGTTACCTTAAATGTCGGTGAATCTTACTTGTGGCATCCACTGAGCCTCTACAATTTCCCCTCCCCTGATCGAATCTGTAGAACGGGCCCAGCTGAACAAGCGTTTAATTGTTGCTAGATTGACGTAAATTCGCATCCTTCCACCATGGAAATCTATGGGGAACTTTTTCTCCATCCACCTCCGGCTCTGCAACATCTCCAGCCTGAATTCTCGAGAGCCACCTCGTGCCACTTCGGCAGAACAAGAGGCGCGAGGACCGGAACAATTCATCACAAGGGCTCAGGGAACTATCGGTCGTGACATATACAGTCTCTCGACATACCATACGCAATTCCATGAAACTCACGATGCTGAAGACGCAATTGTCTGTTGAGTGTGCATTCAGCGCATGGCAGAATATGGGTCACATGTGGACTCGCGTGCAGCTTCGTGTGCGGTGGGGTTGACTGCACAGAACCTCGGGTGGACCTTTATGTCATAGAGTCCAAGAGTTAAAGCACAATCGTCGTGGATGGGAAAGCTCCACCTACTTCAGCCGACATAGGAACAAGGACAAAAGCGTGGTCCGACGTCTGTTGCTGTCCATGTAACAGAGAATCTAGAGCCAAAGAGTCATGGCCGACTTGTTGCTACCCATCCACGTTATCTGTAATTCGAGAGACTGATCATTTGACACACATTTGGCCGCCACCTTTGTCAGAAGCAGTTTGGCAAGTACGATGAACGTGCGAGAAAGACTTCAGATTTGCTGGAATTGTGCACAGAAATGCAGTAAGAGTTTGCTTTTACTTCGACAACTCTTGACCAGAAAGCTGCACTGAATTAGACAACGCAGTAAAGGTGCAAAACTTGTCTTCATTGTTGTCTTGATCTGAATTAATTTGCTCCTTCGTAGTCAGTCAGCAAACAAGTCGGATTCCAGATTTTGGACTTAAGGACCACACCTCGGAAATATTCTCAATTTCGCCGTCTGCTTTGCCCCGAGTACTTGTTGCAGTTGACTTGATCTGATTGTCGAGTCAAATCTCATGAAAAGCATTTTTCGTTTCCGATCACCTTAACTCTCTCAATTGTGCATCTTGGCACATCGAGTACCAATCGAGCCAAATGTATGACGACTTTACCGATCTACGCTCGGGTTTCATCTGTTCCTCCTTGTCCACATTGATCTTTGCGAATGCGTCGATCGATGAGTCATGTGAACTTTGAACTCCAACTTCATCTAGTTCACTTCGTAAGATGTGCATGATGTGCGCAAAGCAAAGCGGGGCCAACAAAATCAAGGAGACGAAATGAAGTGTAGTGACCGAGTACAGAGCGGCCAAAATGATACCAAGACGGTTTTTTGAACAAGAAAGTGAAATTGTACAAAGTAGGTGAGGTAAATCCGAACGTGAAATTCGCGAGAATCTGGAAATCTCTAAATGGGGTTCTGGTTTCAGGGGTATACATCGTTATGGTTTCCAAGCTGGGGGGTCAAAGAACTCGAATGGCCGTTCGGTTTCTTCGTGCCCACACCACGGGGCCTGGCACCTTGTTGATTCACAGTCTTAGAGTTGGAGGGTGGCGTTGGAGTGGGACTCGGTTCCAGACTCGTAGACTGATCGAGAGTGACTCTGGTCGATCGTGAGCTAATGTGCTGTGGGAATCCATCTTCGGTCATGAAAGAGCACAAGAAGCGAAGAGGAAAATGTGGACTGCCAATCATGTTGGAGGGCTCAATACCAATTTTTTAGTACATTGCTGGACGCTTCTGTGAAGCTTAGGGTAAAATTCATCGGATCTTTTTCATTTCCTCTATCGGGGAGGCATTCATATGGACAACTATTTCACAAGGGATACACTAGTAGACGGTGTTTGCAGTACTCGAGAGAAGATTATCTGGAATACTGTAGATAAGCATTATGAATACATTCGTGAAAGGGAGAAAACAGGATCTTCATTTTGATACAAGGTCTCAATCTGTTCTGCGGGTTCTGGTAAATTTGTAATCCGAACGTCAACGAGCAAATTGAGATATTTTCACACTTAGTGATAACCCGGGATACATGAAAAGAGGAATCTAAAGGCAGAGAGAATGAAAAAAAATTTTGATAACCCAACAGTAAATGTCCTGTTGCTTCATATAAGTCTGATTTCATGACTTTTAGTGCAGCAGATCTGCCACATTTTCAAGAGCCACAAGGAATTATGAAGAATAAAAGTTCAAGACTGCATATCTGTCTAATATATCCACTGAAAGGGTTCATAGTAACGTGGTCTTTCAAAAGAGGAATTCCACTAATGTCACGTAAACGAGGAATTTGGTTATGCCAAAGGATTCTTTCTGAACCTAAATAAACGTTATCTTTGACTGGAGATAGGCAAAGATCAAAGCACAATATGGTAGCAACTAGTAGGAGTGCGTATCCACAATTGGCCGAAGGGTTTCATGAAATGTGAAGCAAAATGATTATGGTAATCAGGATGCGACTGCGGTGAAACGATGGGATGAGACTGCTTGAGCTTTAGGGCCAGGATCCTAGGCCTAAGATGAAGTGACATCTATGAGTTGGCATCATGTATCTTACATTTCTCACGCAGTCAACATCAAATAAACTTACATGGTCTATACAAAGGTTTAAGGTTTCTTCTGTTCGACGGGTGAGATTTGAACATCATGCTCCTCTGAGAATTTCTTTAACAAGTGGTCGAAGATAAGAACCTCGCCAGAATCTTATTTTTTACCTGCTTGAGTACCCGTCACATCTTGCTAAGGATTTTCCCTTTGCTGACAACCCGGCGAACAACTCGTATCTCACGGAAATTCTATAACAAACTCGTTGCCATGATCAGGGCTATGGTCAAGGCAAACTAAGTGCACGATGAAAGAGGTTCAGTCAGGAGAAGTCGCTTTCGAAGCTAATTCTTTTCATTTCCTTTTTAATCATAAGAGTTTGACTTTGGCGGAAATCTGACCTCCGCTTCACAAAGTCAATCGTGTAGTGACATTGTAAGTTTATGTCCATCCTTAGAAAAAGCAAAGTTCTGAATGCGACGACTTCGACTGATAGAAGCGTTCTTTCACAAACGATCCACGAGATTTTAATTTAGCACTACTATCTATGAGTACATTTTTAATTTCTAATCTCTCAAGTGTTTTTCAGCCATTCCTTAAAGGAGAAGCTCTCGTTACAACCCTTTGGAGCTTCAGGGATTGACTTCAACATTCTCCAAGACGTCAGTTTTTAGGAATATTTCAGGCTTTCAGCTCATTATTTCATCAATTTCACCAGCAGCTATGGTTTCACTTATTATGGTATACTTATTCAGCAGGATCGGCATATTTTTCTGGATATTTTTCTCAGATCATTTTTTTTAAATCAGAAATAACTGGATGTCACTCCTTATAGTGATCAAAGATGAAGAGTTATCGATCTACCTCGATGTTGATGGTGGACGGCAATTAAAAAGTTCCAAGGTCAGCTTCTGACAACTGAATTGAAACATAATTTCAGAACTCGGTAATACGGTTATTTGGGATGTACTCTGGTCATTTACTGCAAATACTGTGGTCCTCGCCTTCTTGAATTTCAGTCAGCAATGTCTTCTTTTGACAGAACAATTTCCTTTAGAATCCTGGGACATATCGGCCATCCATGTGATCCTGGAAAGCACGTTTTTGGTCTTTGGGAAGGGTCCACACTTAGAAGATATAGAAAGCTTCCTTCTGCGAACTATGTTTGTACTTCGCTCTCATTTCAAAGTTGTTGATCGTGAAATCTATGAATGTCACGCCACACGATGTGTTCAACTCTAAGAAGTTGTATACATCATAGAACACAGAAAAAATTCTTACATCCTCCCAAATAGTAATAATCAAATTTATGGCACGAGATAAATAGAGGACGATCGAGCCACGAGATCCTCCTCTCTTCTCCTTGAGCATCGTCGCATTTTTATGCATCTTCTGTTTATCACCCAAGTCCTGGATGGTCTGTAATGATCAGTCTTTGACATACTGAAGTCTGGAAACACAGGAAACTGACCGGTGCATCACAATCTGTGTCTTGCATGCTTTGAAGAATTGGATTGTTTATAAGCTCCTGCTGCCAGAGCTTATATATATGTCATCTGTTTCTTCTCAATCGGTATATGTTCAACCATATCCGCTGCTCTCAGACGGGTATCGTTGGATATCCTCATGCCGCTCGTGATTTTCGCCATCCTTGAGTTCGTTCAAGTGACCTGGATGGGAAACATGGTTGTTATATCTATTGTACCGTCAAACTTAGACGATGTCCTGCTTTCACTGAGGACTCAGTGGCTGCATCGAATTATCAAGAGTTCATGCCTTCAGATACCACCAATACTCACATCTGACATAGAATTCATGGCTGCTGCAGCTTTGGTATGATGGATATGATCCCGAATGGATTTTAGGAACGCGATGGGGCTCTCCAGCCGAGCCTGAACCACCACCACCGCCACCTCCTTCTCCTCCTCCTACGCTCCCTCTCGATGAGGAGAAGGTACCTGCAGTACCCGAGGTACAACAACGTGGCTCTGAATATTTGCGCCCACTCTGTGATTGACTCAATCTACGTTATATGGTAACCAGTTTATATCTCATAACCCAATGATGAATTGACCTTTGTTTGCTTGATATCGTTGGGGAAATTTCAGCCACCGAAGCCGATAAAGTTGAAATCTCCTTTTTGCTGCGAAGGGTGTGAAGAAAAAATGAAAAACGTCTTCAATGGTTTGGATGGTACGCTTCAGGATTAATCCTTGCTCTTTGCTGGCTCACATCTGCTCGTGAAAAATATGTGACTGAATACTGCCTTAAGTTAGGGAATCTATGACGTATATTTAGACCAACTTAGAAGATGATCTGATCAGGTAATAGTTCTCCTCGAGTTGTACATTAAGCTTCTCCAGATGGATGAAATCTCAAAGGTCACAGTTGTTGTACCTCAGGTTTGGAATCTGTGGCAGTAGACTTCGAATCGGGACTCGTTACCATCACGGGGAACGTGCAAAGTGAAGAGTGCTTGAATCTGGCAAAGAGGGTGGTGAAACGTACTGTTATGTGGTGAGGATGGACATACAGGGATCTGGAAGACAGAAGGAGAAAGGGTGCAGCGGGATTACAAATCGTTCATGTTGCGTTGCAAAGTAGAATATCTCACAGTTTTCGTACATTTATGTTGTGATTCAAATGATCAAGACAGCATATTAGTTCCTATTCTCAGACTGGTCTACTCGAATGCTGAGAACGAGAAAGTAATTTGAGAACATTGTCTACAGTTTCAAAGTCGTTCAGGAAGGTCGTTAGTCTGAGTTCCATTAATTACACTCAAAACAGGCTAAGCTTTGAAGAAGGTGCTACACTTTGGTATTTTTCCTTCAAGCAGATTAATCAAGGAAAAGATCCAACAGTGCTCGGATTTGTTTTTTTTCAGATTGTTTGCGTGATCCAGAGTCGTTGAATGGGGATGTTGTTGCTATTATCCTGTTTGCTTTATTAGCAAAACGGTGAGCACATGAAGCTCAATGTCATCATTCTTTTTACATCGTATCTTCATCGTATACTTTGAGCAAATTTCTTCTTCAAGTCGAGAATGTAGGGCTAGACAATGTAGCAATGATATAGTTGAAAAACAAGTTCTTATATAGACATTAATATCAGGTTCATTGTATGTTAATCTACTCTTGCAGACACTGAACAACATTGACAGATGTATCCCTTCAATGCAAAGGATTTTTGACATTAATGATTATGAGCTTGTCAAAACTACGCATTACAGCTATCAATTAAGAATGAGTTATATAGGTTCTTGAAAGATGTTCTCGCCTCCAAATCTCTATAAAAACGTCATCTGCAGCTAAGTAAGTCTGTCCCTTATAGATTAGATCAATTGAAAATTGAGCAAAAATCGAACGAATGGAATAAGTGTCGCATCATAAGGAGCGCTTTTATGTAAATAAGCAACCAAATTTACCCACTGTCACTTAGTTCTGAACTACACATTCAAAATCTGAAACTGATCTGTAAAATATAAAAATAATTTCATTTTAAGTTGTTTGATAGATTATATTATAATTCCGAAATGAGAAATTCGGATGAGAATTAGTATTGATAGTTTTAATTGAAAATGTTAAAAACAAATAATTGATTCTTATTTGAGATTATGTTTTTTTTCGTTTTTAAGATCAATTAGATTGACACATATTAAGGTCATAAGTATTTGTGTAATCTAAATTTTATATGTTACACTAGAAAGCCAATGATTTCATCAAAATTATTGTTCAAGTAGATTACAATTTACATGAAATGAAAATAGGTTTTTAATATTACAACATATTGTAATTATTCAAAAATAGTACAAAATTCACTAAAATAAAAGTTTTCAATAATCAAATGACATTTCTGATCAAACTAATCAAAATGTTATAAATTTTTTTAATTTTCTAAAACATTATCAAAAAATTCTCTAGAAAAGATAGTAAGTCCTATAGTAAGTATCAAATTATATTTCTTATATAAATTTGAATGTAATATTGAAACGGTAAACTGAAAAACGTAGAACACAAGAGATCAAATCATAACCGAGACACTATATAATGTGGTTCACACTCAGGGGCCACGTCCACAAAGGAATACTCTTCAGAGAGTTTACTGCTGGCTGGAAGTGATCATTTTCTTATCACACTAAGGTTATATATACCCAAGGTAGTCAACCACTCTAAGTTATAAATAATTACACATGCGGTTAACCTCAATTAATTCCTTAAGCAGAGTTAATCTTAACAATCTCCCCTTAACTGACGTTAAGGGGAGGATTGTTATATACAAATATATATAGCTTATATTTGAACAAAATAAAAATTTCAAACAATTTAATAAATTCTTTTATCATAAGAGTGTCAAAAGAATAAAGTTTTGTAAAAGTAATAAAATTACACTATGACCAAATGTTATGTAATCATTTATGTGATTCAAATTCTTTTAACCCAAATTACTTTTCAAATTTCAAACTCATTATAACTTTAAATACTGAGAGTTTAGAATATATGACTACAATAAATTCTAGTGGCAATTGTTTTTCAATAAGTGAAATTTTTGAAATTATATGTTTATTTACTTATTTGGTTATAAAAAATCTCAAATTCTTATAAAATATATGAAAACTAAAATCGTTTGCGTTTAAAATATTTAAGAATATTTTATTTAATATTTTTTACATCCATTGAATAAAAATCAGTATACAAGATATCATACTGAATTGAAAATATATTCAAAAATTGTACTAGATAATTTATTTAATGAATTGAAATGCAAAAAAATTATGAAACACTAGAAAAAATGTATTTTCTGAAAAAAAATACTTAAATTTTGATTTTAATATATAAATATAACATTAGTTTTTTTATCAAGTAGGGTTGAGACTTTAAGTATTTGTTGGTCAAATATATTTTTTAGAACCAAACCCCCTGTTAAGCAAAAGTTGTGAACGATAAAACTAAAAAAAACATTCAACACTCATGAGAGACTGATGTAACGTGGTTCACACTTAAGGAGTAGGGCTACGTCCATCTAGAACTCGAGCAACTTTAGGTCAGGTCATGTCCAGAAATAACTTCAAGGTATTTATTCCAGTCCAGGTGTGAGTTCAATTATGAACTCAATTAAATAATTAGCATTAGTTAGTATGATATATTAGAGACCTCAGACAAAGAAAAGAAAAAGAAAAAGATTTAATAGAGTAGTTGTAGGTTAGTAGTAGTTAGTAAGGTAAGTAGGCGTAGATTATTTATTGAGTGTATCTTTTTAGTATCAAGAAGGGGCCTGGCAAGGGTGGCGTGTAGTGAAGCGGGAATTGATGAGCCTTGGGCCCTAGCTGGCTAGCTGGGTCTGTGGATCGATGAAGGGAGACTCGTATTACTTCTTCTTTGAGAGAGGGGGAAAAAACGGAGTGCTAGACGAATGGAGTGCACAATGCTGCAGAGAGTGATATGACTCTTTCGGTAGTGAGAAGGGAGGCGAAAACGCGAGAGAGCGAGCCCCGTAAAAAATAAAAAAAAAACACGACAAACACACGATAGACGGTCAGACCCGACCCTTGGATGTCTTTCGAGTGAGTGTTTGTGGGGGATCACTATGTTGATTCACAGCGAAGGTGGTGCCGGTGTGTTGGTGGTGTATCACGAGGGAGATAGAGTAGTGGCAGTGATAGTAGGACAAGGGACGGAGGGCGTCGCAGGTGAAGGACGAGGAGAAAAGGCGGAGGGCAAAGGGTCTTCGGACTAGTGAGGAGAAAAGAAAGCTCGGTGAGTGGAGGAACTGGAAGCGAGTTCAAAGGGAAGCGAGGGAGTGAGGGAAGGAAGGATCGCTGGTGTATGAGGGCGAGATGGCTGGACCGTCCGACAAGGTTTTTGCCCAAGCAAGTGACGGAAATCGATTGGGATACACTTTTTGAGAAAAATTTTGAAGGTTTGGATTGTGGGGCACCAGAACAAGGAAATTGACGGTGTGATTAGGGAAATTGGATCGGGTGCTGATAAGCACTGGCGTGGCAGCCGATGTGGGTGGGTGACTCTACCGAGTGGACTGTGAAGGCAGTGCAAAGCAGGGTTTTGGGCTGGTTTCCTTGTCGGGCCAGACGTAGATAGAAGACTAGGAGTATAGACGAGACCTGAAGGAGAGCCATCGAGGCGGCAAGAGGAGGCAAGGATCCATGCACCACAAGATCGCTGACTCTGGATGAGGCGTTCAAGTGTGACCAAGGGTGGCTGCCTCCAGTCTCTCTTTCAAGTCATTTCTGCAATTACGATATCTTTCTATTGCCAACTACCTAGACGGAGCCGACGCCAACAACAATGAAAGACCCGAGTCGGAACACAGAGAGGAAGAAGAGTCCGAAGACAAAGATGTGGACGATATCAATGGCGATGGTACTTGAGGTCGACGGTGAAGAAGTGGAAGGTGTGGATGGCAACATGAAGGGCGCTGCAATTACCCTATAGCAGAGGACAGCAACAGAGAGAGAGAGAAAAGAGCGAGAGAAAAGAGCTTGGCCATTCGTTGCTGCTGCTTCAATACGCGCATTTGTGTGCAGCACAGTTTTTTCCCTCTCCATGTTGCCCACTATTAGATCCCTTAGATACTTTTCCGTTTTTTTTCTTCTTCTTCTATCTTCTTCTTCTCCCTTGAGGCACTTCCGAGGCGTTGAACCTTGTTGCCTGCCTCTACTGCCCTGTCGTAGGACAAACCACACTCAGAGACTCAAACACTTCTTTTACAGTAAGAGGTAGATTCTAAATGAGTTTTTAGTGAGCAAGTTAGATTAATCCTAGAACCAAAGGGAGCAAGGCGGGGATGTGCCGAAGAGATTTTGTGAATTTCTAGTGGTCTAGATGTTGCGCAAGCATGATGCTCCATCCTCAGGCCACTCCCCTGCTGTGCGCGTGGACAGACGAGGCCTTCTTTTTGTGTATATAGATTCCAGTGAAATTTTAATCTCATTTTACTTCTTCTGTAGTGGTAGTGTAGGTAGAGCGTAGGGAGGGGCACCCAGAGGTTCTGATCGTGGGGCTGCAAATTTCTGGGGTGGACCTATTTTTGTAGTTTGTGCTCACTGGTGGTTGTGGCTTCAGTTTTTACATCGGAGGTTATAGACGATTGAGTATCTCGCCTTGGTGAGACGGGGCGTCCAAGGCAGAGGTTGGACAAGACGGAGCAGCTCGCAGGCATTTGCAGAGATAGAACAGAGTGGTGTTTCTCTCGAGGTCGTGACCTACAACCCTTTGATTGCCGGCATTAGTAAGGAAGACTGAAGAGGGCTTTGGAATAATTGGAAACAATGAAAACTCGTGGGATTAGTCCGACTGTAATTACATATATTTCCTTCATTGATTACTACATCAAGGCAGACGGAAAGCTCCTAGAGGAGATGAATCTGCAGTGTTCGAAGCCAAAGGCGGTGACGTATAGAGCTCTAATAGATGGCTTTTGCAAAGCGGTGAAGCTAGAGGTTACCAATGCTCGAGTTGGGCGAGCCAGAGTGGATACCGAGGCTGGACTTGCAAGAGATCAGATGGTGTCTCTAACTAGAGAGGCCAAAAATTGGCAAGGGGATAGGGACGAAGTTTTGCAGACAATCACAAACTATCGACGGAGATTGAGAGAGAGCTCAAAGAAGATGCAAGCTATCAAGGAGCTTGTTCACA